CAAAGGTTTTCTACCAACAGAATTGTCAGTTGGAACTGTTGCCCACACACCCTGCATAATAGAGGCAGGTGACTATAACCAATGTCCTAACACCATTTTTCCAAATTTCTGATGTAAAGAATCCCACGTTAAAATGTTGGTATGAACAGCACTGCTTCCCTGTCCTAGCATGGCATTCATGTTTCATGTTGCTGTAACCAATCACATGACTGACATCAGTAAGAGAGAAGACACCAGTCTAGATGAACTGAAGAGAGAGGTCTTAGACAATACTCTAGAGAGCTATATTGGATAGTCTACTAACTTCAGTTGTGAATAAAGGAGCTTTTCCATATGTATGGAGTTGAAGAGCCTGGTTTTGAGATGAGCAGCCTCATGGACAGTGTACGTGGGCATCCACAGCCTCTGATATTCCAGACCAATACCTCTGATAGCACAACTGGGTTGAACCCTGGGTTGACATATGGCAGCTGCTAGAGCAAGGGGAAAAAAAAACTCCCAAAGCCTACTCTGAAGTTTTAAGAGTTCAGGGAAACAGCTGGAAAAGGAAGATTCCAAAGGACTTCGGAAGACTTTGAAGGTGCAGCTGAATAAATATTAGACTCCTTGACAGGTAAAGACCTCAAAAGACTTCAATAATGGGGCCTCAGAAGAGGAAGACGCCAAAGGACAAGAAAAAGAACCTCAGAAGATGTCAAAGTTTAACCACAATACTCTGTGGAGTAAGAACAGGCCCAGGACACTTTGATAGGAGGAAGGAAAACCATATGTAGACAGCCAGGTCAGTCAGATACAATACTCCATAGAAATGGCAGCCCCAATACAGACCTTGTCATTACCTCAACTGTTTAAAAATGTAGAAGGCACAGAACAAGACCGGAAGTAGAGGGTTTGGAAGTTTCAGTGCAATTGAATGGTTTCAGGCTTATATCCAAAGGAGCATCAACACCAAGTCAGCATGCTTTCATACGTAACTGGATCAATAGCTGATGATGTGGAGCTGCCAGTAGTGGGCTATCTCTCAGCACCAAGGACATCCAGGTGCAAAAGTCCTGCCTATCAAGAGCTGCTGGCCAGTCAGAGGCTGGTAAATCTATTGAACAGAGGGCCAAATTAGAGAGTGTAGCTACTGCCACCACTCAAAGGCTAGGACCAAAACTAGATTCTGGGCAGTGATGGCACAAGGAAGGTTGGGGATATTGTAGAGGATTGGAAGCGAGAGTAGCGGTTTGCTTTCAGCAGATTTCTGATGGCAGATCCCTTGCTCACACACAGAATGTCTTTGAACGAGGGACCCACCTGAGAGCCCAGAAAAAAACTCCTGTGGCTTTTCTTGTTGCCTGCCCCCCTCAGGTGATGAGCCCCCTTACCTACCCACTCAGCCGTCTCAATTCACGTTGGAGAGGGAAGGCCATTCACAAATCTTCCCAACATGGACTCGTTCAGGGTGGAAGTGGGTAAGTGACAGAATTCCCATCCCTCACCCTTCTGCCTGATGAAGTTCCCTCTCACCATCAAACTTCCCACAGGGAAAGACACAAAATTGCACTGAGAGTCTCTGCCTTACTTCATGTTAGTTTCAGAAAAATAGGCTCTAACAGTGTACATGCATTAGTTAAAGCATAGCAGAGCTTTGTTTAAAGTTCACTGTCCAATTTGCAATCCAGGGTTCAGTTGAGTCCACCATATGAAAGGTATTGAATTTTTTTCTTGCCCCAGCTTTTTGGTATTGTTGCATGCTCGGCATGGCCTTTTGCTGTACATCTTCAATAACGCTTTTGATGCAATGAGAAAGAAGTGATTGTGACCCCGTCTTTGATGTCTTTTGTGTATCGTCACTCACTCCATTCTCCCTCCCAAAGGGGAGAGTATGAATGAGGGAAGTTGAAGAAGCTAACTGATGAAAATAGGGAAAAAGATCAAACCAAAGTTTAACAAAAGCTGGAAAAATTGATCCCTTTCAGATGGTGGAGTCAGCTGAACCTGGCATTGCAAACTGGATCATGAACTAAAAAAGACACTTCGATGCTTTAAAATATACTTTCCAAAAAATTGCAATTTTGTAGAACTTTATAATAATTTCAGGATGGCTCAATTTTATTAATACCAAAAGATTGATTTTGAACTGTGGTTCTTACTATAGAGGTAAACATACCAGACAATTTTCACACAGAACAGTCTCACAAAGAATAAGTGAATGCATAATAAGAAAACCTGGATTTGGAGGGTGTTGGTTCAAAGAGAAATGTTGACCAGAACAACGGAGTATACCTTCCTCCTTCAATAGTGCAATAGAAATGTATGCAGCCAGTTGATCTAGTAGGCAGGTTTAAGAGGGGTGTAATGTTTCATTTGAACACCTTCAACAGTACAGTACATAATAAGATGTTGAAGGTATTGAAGTGCACAGAGATTATGTGCTGAAAGATTACAGTAGAGAACATTCTGATTTAGAAACATAAGTGAAGGTATCACTTCATTTTCATTTGTTTTTGTGTTGTGGGTGATGATGGCAAATCCACACAATGTGAATTCCCAGTTATCTTGAAAAGGTGACAGTGTGTTTTCCCCCAGAAATGCTGCAGTTTCATGTTGGTGATGCCTTCATGATGAAGCTAGATAGGATATTCAAAGATTTTGACTCAGCAACAATGAGGAAACAATGGTTTTCATCAAAGTCAAGATAGTGTGGGATCTGAGAGAAATGTAGATGTGATGGTGTTTCAATTGCATCAGTGATCCTGTCTTTCTCAGTGGTGGGAATCAAAACAATGGGAGGCACTGACAAAGTAATCTTAGTTGCCATAGTGTGTAGAAATTGCAGAAACAGTGCACTGATGGAAGGAGTGAAAAGCGAGTCCAGTGGCAGTGAGGCCAATTCAACAAATTCTAATAATACAGAGCAGCAAGTACTTTACTTCAAACAGTTACTCAAATGTCATTTTCTGATAGTGTGTTGCACTACCTGCTCATTAAATACTTTGAAATCCTGTCATATAATCACAAATGAATCTTCTTTGCACATTGCTTGTTGCTTTTTATTAGCTTGAAAACGTTTTATCAAACACAGGAAATTTCTGTATAATTTTATTGTGTAGAAATTAACATTTCAATACTGTTATAATGATTTTTTTTCATTATTGACACTTACATTTGTGTCTTGTATGCAACTCAGTCTCTAATATTCTCTTTGGTAACCATGGCAGCTTGAGCTAACCAAACCATTTTAAATTTGCACCAAAGCGGTGAATGAATAAGATTTGGCAGCATCTGTGAAGAGAAATCAAGACCTGAAATGTTAACTCTGATTTTTCTTCACAGATGCTGCCAGACCTGCTGAGCTTATCCAGCAACTTCTGTTTTTGTTTCTGGTTGCAGCATCCGCAGTTCTTTTAGTTTTTAATGAATAAGATTTATTTGATTAGTTTTCCTTGCAACTATCTATAAAACTGAAAGTCCTGCATGTGGCACATGTAGGACAAAAATGCCAGTACAGCTTTGGAAATACTCGCAGGATGTAAAGTATTCCTTAAGGCATAATTGTCCCAAATACTCCTTACAAACATCTGTTTTCTGCTGCTTCTATTCTAGATCTATTATTTGAGTTCACCAACAGATCACCACATAATAATCAATTACAAAACAGATAATGCATTTCTTAAAAAAAAAGGTCTTAATGTTTTAATATGCTGGTCATGTGAAAGAGGCTGTACACAGTTAGGGATGTGAAGCCTCTGGAACAGTGGCCAACCGAGCTTGCCTACATCAATTGTGACCTGAGGCTTTCAAACGTCTCCGTTATCTCCAACACCTCCGTCCTCCTGGCACAGTTTGGTATCTGGTCATCGCAGAATAGTGACCGCATGACCCACGAGATGAGATTTGCTGTGTTGGAGCCATTGCCACAAAGTGGTGACTTTGGGCCAAAATTTCTCTCCACTTGAGTAGGCTGGATCAGCTAACATGGGTAGTCTCTCCCTCCTACAGCTGCCTGTTTCAGACAAACATAATCTCATAAGGACTATCATATGTATCTTCCAATGGACTGTGTCCAGCCTACCCAGAGCCAGAGAGCTCCCAAAACTGCACATTTTGCCTCACCTCCATTCTCTTCAACTCTTCAATTCAGCATTCATGATGCAGGAGACATTTTTTTGGAAGGCTTAAACTAATTACCCTTCCATTAGTAATAGCATTCTGTGAGATGATCATGAACCTTATGTACTCTGTTTATCCATCTCTTTTTTTTATTTGACTATGAATGCTAATATTGTTCTTATCAATCATGTAATTTATAGTCTAAGAACTTTGAAAGGGTTTGAGTGAGTTACATCACATACTGATGTCAAGGATCACATGCTAAGGACTTCTTGCCTAGCCTTTAATGGATGAGGCATGTCTCAAATGTCTCATATAAAGAGTTTATACAGTAATAGTTTTATTACTAGCTATTAATACAGAAACCTCAGCACCATTATTGGTTAGATGGAAGATTAGGGTCATCAGTCTTGGGTCCAAGTTTTACCAGAATGATTGGCTAGTTGCAAAGATGGCCATCAAAATGGCACTTGCACATGCACACTCAAGTCCAATAATATCAGTTACTAGCGACATATGACCCTCAGCCAGAATGCAACTGCACGTATATGGTCAATATCACACGGACATGCACAGATATATAGTTCAATTGCTAATGCTGCACATGAAATGTAAATCATTCAGATATTATCAGAGCTAGTTGGGATACAGAATTGGTGCACGCTGTTCCACTGCTTTGTAGTGACATGGCGCTGCGTACCTGTGCTTTTACACATGCACAGTGGCTGCACCTGCTAGTGATGACACTGCTAATAAATGCAGCCAAACCTTACAACATGGTGGTCAGCATGTGACGTGAAGATTTTATATTTAAATATTATTTACAGCATAAAAGCAATGATAAAGTTTGCTAAAGGAAGCTTATACAAGAGTGATGACACTATTATTTTTAAAAATCACAGAACCTACCAAAAAGAAGAAAACAACAACAGACCTGAAGAGCAAAAGACAGTAAATATAAAATTACCAGAATTGTCCCTACTCAAGTTTAAGCTGGTGAGCCAGACATTGACGATTGGGTAAGAAAATTCAAACGTACATAAATACAGAAAGACTGAAGTAATTTTACAGAGCTTGGAAAATGGCACAGAATACAGGCTGAATGCTTGCCCTTTATAAATTAAATTCCAACAGAGCAATGAGAAAAAATGGGGTAACTGAGACATAAAGGTGACAGTTTAGAATATTTTTTATATGAAGCCAACAGTTTAAAATACCACAAAGAATGACAATTTAGAATATTGCTGGGAATGTGGAGGAAGAAAGATGAATCTCTCAGGAGTTAAGTGGTGTTTGCAACCCTTTGAGTGCAGAACAATTTTAACAGTAAAAGAATTAAATAAAAATTCTAAGTCATAGTGAAGCTCAGATATAAGGAAAAAGTTCCATTACTGAAAAACACTTTAAAGAAATAAACAGGAAGATGTAGCAATGTTAGAAAAGAATGATAAATTTAAAACTTTCTCTGCTCAAGGATTTGAACACACCAACGGATCAAACCTAACACAAAATTGGGCATTTTGGAGAAAGAAATTCGTAAGATATAAAATTGTTTCAAGATTAAACAATAAACGTGAAGCACAACAAGTTAATACATTTATTTATTCTTTTGCAGAAACAGCAGATGATATGAGTGCAGGCAAAGGAATTGAGGAAAAATCAGACAAATTTGAGGAAGTTTGAAGGCCTTTAATATTTACTGCAATCTCAGAACAAATAAGATTTTATAAAGATCCAGGTTTACCAAAAATAATTTAGCAACCAGCAATTAATAGAGTATGTTAGCAAGGTTAGTTGAGGGAAGTGACTACAGAGAATTGGAAACAAAATTGATTAGAGACCACGTTGCTGTAGAAATAGTTGATGAATCTCCATCAGATTAATCACAATCATCAATACATTTCCTAAAATGTAAAATAGTGAACAACACCATAAAAATGAGACACCCAAAGGTAAGAAGCCATAAACTCTTTCCAGTGTTTTAATATAAAAAAAGCTTTACAGGCAAGATCAGTGCCCTGCAAATAAAGGAGAATGCTTCCCATGTAAGAAATCGGTCACTTTCAAAAAGATGTACTCAAGTAAATGTGCAATCTTTAAAATAACTAAAGATACAGTCTTCAAATAACTGTCAATGACGGGCAGAAATCTTCAATGGAAGACAAGCCAAAATACTAACAAGAAATATAATTTGAGTCCAATGAGAACATCATAAGGGAGAGACACCTCCTGACAGATTAAATTTGTGAAGTCGGAGACTTGACAGAAGATAGGCAGTATTCAAATGTAAATACAAATATGAATGTGTTAATAATAATTTGAACAAAGTGCTTGGGGGAGATGGAGTTTAAAAAGATGTGAAAGTGTTACCATATGAATGACATCACCCACTGTGATGATGTCAAAGATCACGTGATATGGATACCTTGCGGAATCTTAGATAGACAGACGTGCCCCGAGTACCTTGTAAAAAATTGTGAACCACTGGCTTTCCAGTCTGCAGCAATATCTGGATTCTTATAAAGCCCCACAAATTCTTTGCCCATTCCCAAACCCATGTCCATGTTGGGCTGGTTTTTATAATGTCCAACTCTGCTTTCCTGATGGTCTGGATCAAGATTCTCCCCACTTCTTCCCTTTTGCGCAAATCAACAGATGTTCCTGAAGTCCTCTTGGTGACAATGGCAGAGAAGTGTTTATTTTAATGGAACAGTTACCTGATCTGTCTTGCCTACGAATGAGCTCCAATCCTGTATCAGTGTGCGAAACCTTAGTTATTCTCAGAGACAGTGTTAAAATAGTTTATTTTTCTATGAATGCTACATTTCTCAGTCCTCCATCTCCAGCCCACCCCTTTCCTCAAATGCTCCAAATTCCAACATTTCTTAATACTATAGATCCCAGAGTCCCATGCCACTGATTATTACTACATACTAAAACTGCACTTTTTCTCTTTTCCCCTTCTATTTGCACTGTCAGATTCTAGAATTTCAGGCCCTAACTGTTGCCAAGTTACAGTAACTCCTCAAGCTGAAAATTACTCCTAAAGGACTAACACCAGAATTGTACATTCCCTCCCAACTATCCCAGATCACTAATTATCAGTTTTAGCTTCAAAAGTATATCATCTACACACTTTTTGCCATCTGTTTTTCATCTTATCCCCATCCAATGCTGTTACCCAATTTCGTTAATAACATAGTCATGACTATCTTCACTATTTCTATTCTGGACATTAACAAGGGTAAGATTGAATGCATCTGGAAAAGAACAAATATGTTAGCCAGTTAGAGAGATTGGAAAACCACACATAAGAATGTATGAGAGATAAAGCCATGGGAGTTAAACCAGAACAAAATAAATGCATTGTACATCCAGGATATCAGTCAGGAAAGCAATTGTTGAAAAACAACTTAACTACCAAAGAAATGTTAAATTCAGAGATCCTGAAAAAAAAATGCTCCCCAATCTGAATCTACAGTTACAAGTTTATTCTCCCAATTTATTAAAACTTGCAATAACACAACTTATATCACTGAACATGTTTGTACTATCACAATGCTGCTCCATTGTTCTGACATGCTGGTTGTTCTTACCTGCTTGGCACTTTAAATGTGTTCATCAGAGCAACTAGCCCAACTTTACTCTGTGAACTCATTCTTAAAGTTACCTTTTTCAGTTTGCTTTGTTCAATAAATATTAGGATTAAGATTACCCATGTTTATTTCAGTACTTTTCGTAGAAGCCCCAATTTATTCTAGATTTATGCTTCATCCATCAGTGTAGCTACGATTAGGAGACTTATAAATATCTTCTGCCAATGGCTTCTTTCTCATGCTATTGTTTAACTCTACACGTAATGATTCTCCATTTGATCTTCCAGGACAAGATCGCTTCCTACTCTGCACCAATCCCATCTTTTATAAACAGAGCAACATCACTTTCTTTTCATCTTATCCTCTCAATTTTTCTTGAATATTCAAGTTTTAATCTTTGTCAACTTGCAACCAGGTCTCTGTAATGGATATCATACTATACACATTTATCAATATTTGTACCAAGAATTCATCTATCCTTAATTTTGCTTTTTCACCACATTTTTCTTCTGTCACCCTACTGGCTGGTACACTCTTGTATTTGTATGCTTTGTCCCTTTCTATCAGTCTCTGGTTATTTTAACCGATATCATTTTTGTGCTCAACTGCTTTGTCTTTTCTCTTTAACTTTCCAAACATTTCCTCACCTGAACCATCTCAGAGAAAAGAACAAATTATGCACTTTACACATCAAAATGACACGTGATGTTGCACAAATGCCATTTTAGAGTCATAGAGCCCTACAGCACAGAGACAGGCACTTCGGACCAAACTGGTCCATACCGAGCAATTTTGGTTAATAACAGCTCTTACCATACAACACTGAGACCCGAAATGACTAGGTATTGACACAAGAATCTTTAATACATTGATTAAATGAGCAGTGAACAACTGTCAATTTTATACAGAGCCTTTACAACTGTTCATTTAGTTTTACTTCAATTTCTTCCAATTGTCCTATATTGTTGACTATGAGTTTAAGTGTTCACTTGCAGCTGCTGTATTCATTCAGAACATGCCAATCTTGATTAAGGATTCAAAAATCTTAGAATGCAATATTGCATTCTAATCTTTACTCCTTTATTCTAGATGCAGCTCTTGTCTAAGTGAAGAGATTTAGGACAATGTGAGAACAACTACCCCATGGAAGAGCTCAAATATCATTGTGGCAAATGGCCAAGGTAGCACAGGAAAGTTGTGCCAGATACTTCTTCTCTCTGCACTTGGAAAAATCTCAGAAATTGTGACTTTTAAAGGATGACAAGAGCACTTATCTGAAGAAACCATTCAAAGCCAGCCCAAACAAGTGAGAATTTACAGCGGTGTCGGCAAATGTTAGGAACACAATGTAGTGTTGTTAGATCTTGAAGACAGAACTGCTCAGCTTAGCATTTTAACTATCTTCCTTAAAATTATGGAGTCAGTTCTTTCCAACATGTTCTGCTGCATGGTTGCTATGAAACATATAAAGTTGCCTTTTTTTTCATTTTAGACGCAGACAAACTGGTTAGGTATTTCCAAAAGTTTCCAAGCAAGTTTTAAATTTTCAAACATTCTGGATTTTTAGCCATTACTTTTCAAGATGAATTTAAACTCTGTTTCTACTATCAATGGCCATTATTTGCCTGTTGACTTTTATTGTGTGTGTCAATGGGCTATTTTACTGCAAGTTAAGGGAAATTGGAAGATATGTTTTCAGTTAATATCCATAATTATACAATTTCAAGATAGTCATTAAATGGTAATTGTGAGAAGCTGGATTCATTTTCAACCCCGTAGCTCAAGGGTACTGATGCAACTTTTGTGCTTCCTATTGAAACAATTGAACTCGGTACACAGGCAAAGGTCGGACTGGATCCTCCTACAAAGTGATGGTTTTGCTGCTCAGTGAGCTGTCAGCTAGTGACTTGCTTTTCCTTTCTTCTCCTCACACTAATTGATTTGATTTATTATAGTCACGTGTACCTAAGTACAGTGAAAAGCTTTGTTTGCGAGCAATACAGGCAGATCATAGTTAGCAAGGACATACAGAGCATAGGGTGCTTAGACAGAGTGAGGCATACAGATTACACTACACAAAAGGCACATGAAGCAAGATTGACATTAACAGAACAACATTATTTGAAGTTAGAGAGTCCATTCATCAGTCTAACGGCAGAGAAGAAGCTGTTCTTGAACCTGTTGGGGCGTATGTTCTAGCTTCTGTATCTTCTGCCTGACGGAAGAGGTTGTAGGAGAGAATTAGGTGGAAGGAGTCTTTGATGACTTTGGCAGTCTTTCTGTGGCAACGAGAAGTGTAAATGGAGTCCATGGATGGAATGTTGGCTGCAAACAGAAAAAGAAAAGACTTACAGATTTTCATAGGTAGGTAACCAAATTTCTTTATAACTTTAGTGAAGTTGTTCCTGGATGAGAAGCGAGGCGCAGGAACATCTGTATTTTGGATGCTTGTAGCCCATATCTCTTCAAAGTGGTGTCCATGGTATTCATGCATATTTGTGACATAAAATGCATTGGAAATAATCTTGATACATGTATTGGTGTACACAAAAAGAACATACAATGATCTGCCTGACCTGAATGATTGTTTTATCAACCAATATCTAACTATCTACTGCTGCCATTTTGCAGCTCAATGATTCAGCTAACACCATCTCTCACCCTACATCAGGTTATAGTCCAACAGGTTTAATTAAAATCATAAGCTTTCATAGCACTGCTCCTTCATCAGGTGAAGTGACTTCACCTGATGAAGGAGCAGCGCTATGAAAGCTAGCGATTTGAAATAAATCTGTTGGACTATAACCTGGTGTTATGTGATTTCTGACTCTGTCCACCCCAGTCAAACACCGGCACCTCCACATCGTCTCTTACTCTGTCATGGTCAAATATGACATCAAGCAGTAGGAAGGAATACTCACCAGTGCTTTTTAAAGGGATCGTCAACTAGTTACAGCTTAGTGGCTGGTTGATTTCTTTTGGCTGCTGATACAATTCTCTATATATTTAGTACTTCCAATGTTCCAAAATGCTCCACAGCAAGAAATGTTACAGATGCTGAAGTACAATCTGCTGACATCAAAATTTCTGAACAGCCCAGTTTCTCATTGAATCTTCCACTCAGAGAGACCATTGCTACAATACTCATGGAGACTGATAACTTCAAAAAGTTAAATTTGATTTCCAATTGCTAGCAGAAAGAATGACAGAGGACGTTCTCATACCTTAACACAGGTATTGAAACAGACAGCTTAAAAGCCATAGAATGGAATTTTTAACAGAACTGAGAAACCCACGATCAGGTGTACATTTTATTGCCCTTTTAATAGTAAAAATTCAATTCTCCTGCAACCAGTCCAAAATTATTCTTAGCTCTCAAGAGTTTATTTCTGTCCTTTTCTTTCCCAGTTTAGTAGCCCTTAGGCAAAAATTGTCCCTCGTGGTGGAAGTTTTCCTGGAGCTTTTTTCTCCAGCTTAATTGGGGCAAATTTTCCAATTTCATTCATAAGTTTGATCTTTAAATCCAAAAACCAGCTTCCACCTTCATTCCATACCCTAAACCAGCCTCTAGTTAATCTCTCTCTCCTGAGTGCTGCTACTTGTCTGTGAGTATCAGACTCACCTTAGAAACCTTTCAAGGCCTGTCCCCAATGCAAACCTGAATCCTTTGAGCTTTGCAGCCAGGTAAAAATGCTGCAAAGGAATTTTTGAGCGTTCAACTCTCTTTTATCTTGGAAGTAAATGGGCAGTGTAAAGCACACTGTTTATAACTAAACATTCTTAATAATATTCCAGAACTTTGGAAACCAGCAGTTAACATAGATGCTACTGCCATTGTCTACAGCATGAATATTTTACATCTTCCTTCCAGTGAACAATGTAGGGTTCCCATTAACCTTTAAGAGCTATGTTAACCAGGCCTGTTGTTAGGCAGATTTCAAAATCGGTCACATGTCTGTTTTCATTTTTCTCATTTTCTTAAATTAACGAAGCAGTTCCAAAACATAGTAATCTCAGAAACATTATACTTGTTGTACTGCAGAACAGAACAACTTACTGGAAGAAGGTAGAAGGGCTGTCAGTAGGAGGTCACATTCACCTGCTCTGAGCCGACTTTTATTTTAGATAGAGAGAAGATAGGAATGAAATGCAAAATAAATGTCCAAACATATGAGGAATCTATAATGTTTAATCACTAATTATTCTCTGGAAAGGTTTGAATTATTGTTAAAGATGAGGGAATAAGTGTAAAAAGAGACATCACAAAAACAAATTAAAATTAAACAACATCTTTAGCAGAGAAGTGCACTTCCGAGTAGTTTGCACCTAAAAGATGATGCATCCCTTAATTTATTCTCCTCCAATGGAGCATATGCAATTTTTCAAGTTTTTCATCCTATCTTGTACTTTGTCATACCAGTCTCCTGGTGAATCTGCACTGTGCTGTTTATTTTGCTTTAATATCCTTCCCATAATTGCAATGTGATAAAATATAGACGATCATTTTCAAATTTTGTCATTGATTTTAACACTTGGGATTATAATTGACGGAAATGATTTAACAGGGAAAAACCATTGATTTAACATGGCCATTGAAATCAGTTGACCATGCAGGTTAGCTAATCTTTGTGAAATCAATGTGGAATAGATATAATTGTCTCAATTGAAATTAATGTTTTCAACAAAAGATACTGAAATGATTCCAGCCAACCACGCATGAAAAATCCCACATCTTCAACTGTGATTTACAACATTTGTGATAAGATTCACATGTTGGAGATGAAGGTGCACCTGCGTTTATCAATGTTGGAAATAATTAACTCAGACATTGAAATACACAAACCACCTGCATTTTATGGAACTTTTTTTGGCACAGCAGGGAAAATGTATTTGTGATTGCAGAACTGGAGAAATCTCTCTGTAGTTCTTGAAGAATAAAGCACCCAATGATGACATAAACTGGAGAGAAATATCCAGAAATAAATCAAAGAGCTGCAGATGCTGGAGATCTGAAACAAAAACAGAAATTGCTGGAGCATCTATAAGGACAAAGCAGAGTTAGCATTTCAAGTCAGGTGACTTTCAGACATTCCATGTTCTCGTATCCAATCCTGACATTGTCATCAAGGCTGCTGACAACGGTGATGCTGTTGTTTTTCTGATGTACTAACCTCTATATTGTGGAACATAGAACATAGAACAATACAGCGCAGTACAGGCCCTTTGGCCCTTGATGTTGCGCCAACCTGTGAAACCAATCTGAAGCCCATCTAACCTACACTATTCCATTATCATCCATATGTTTATCCAATGACCATTTAAATGCCCTTAAAGTTGGCGAGTCTACTACTGTTGCAGGCAGGGCATTCCACGCCCTTACTACTCTCTGAGTAAAGAACCTACCTCTGACATCTGTCCTATATCTATCACCCCTCACTTTAAAGCTATGTCCCCTCGTGCTAGCCATCACCATCCGAGGAAAAAGGCTCCCACTGTCCACCCTATCTAATCTTCTGATCATCTTGTATGTCTCTATTAAGTCACCTCTTAACCTTCTTCTCTCTAACGAAAATAGCCTCAAGTCCCTTAGCCTTTCCTCATAAGACCTTCCCTCCATACCAGGCAACATCCTGGTAAATCTCCTCTGCACCCTTTCCAATGCTTCCACATCCTTCCTATAATGCGGCGACCAGAACTGTATGCAATACTCCAAGTGCGGCCGCACCAGAGTTTTGTACAGCTGCAACATGACCTCATGGCTCCAAAACTCAATCCTTCTACCAATAAAACCTAACACACCGCATGCCTTCTTAACAACCCTATCAACCTGGGTGGCAACTTTCAGTGATCTATGCACATGGACACCGAGATCTCTCTGTTCATCCACACTGCCAAGAATCTTACCATTAGCCCAGTACTCTGTATTCCTGTTACTCCTTCCAAAATGAATCACCTCACACTTTTCCGCATTAAACTCCATTTGCCACCTCTCAGCCCAGCTCATGGCAAGCTAATGGAGCTAAGGATTGACAAGTCTCCTGGCCGTGATGGAATGTATCCCAGGGTACTAAAAGAGATGGCGGGAGAAATAGCAGGTGCACTGGTGGTAATTTTCCAAAATTTGCTGGACTCTGGGGCAGTCCCAGCAGATTGGAAAACAGCAAATGTGATGCCACTGTTTAAAAAGGGAAGTAGACAAAAGATGGGGAATTATAGACCGGTTAGCTTAACCTCTGTAGTGGGGAAGATGCTTGAGTCTATTATCAAGGAAGAAATAGCAAGGCATCTTGATAGAAATTGTCCCGTTGGGCAGACGCAGCATGGGTTCATGAAGGGCAGGTCATGCTTGACAAATCTTTTGGAATTCTATGAAGACATTACGAGCAAGGTGGACAATGGGGACCCAGTGGATGTGGTGTACCTAGATTTCCAAAAGGCCTTC